GAGTACGGGAGGTGATTGGTGGAGAGCATAGGGTTTAGGGCTTTGCCACTCGTTAGCGGGAAGTTGCTTGGAAATCAACGTCGAGACTTGCCCGCAGGCGAAGAATTCCCCCTTCCCTTTTGAACTCCCGACACCACCTTTTTCGACAACCTCACCGTTCGCAGGAAGTGCAGTCAGCCCATTTCCAGCAGTCACAATGGCCCGTCGTCCCGCGAGATGCTACCGCTACTGCAAGAACAAGGTGCGTGCGATCGCTTGATGGAGGATCTGATGTCTTGTGGGAGTTTTTCATGTTCTGTGGATTTTGAATCGGGAAGCTCGCTTGTGGGGAGAGAACAACGCCAACACCTGTTTCGACAGGAGAAGGAATAAAGAGACGGAATATATGTCGTCGCGATTTAACTGGGGCCTGGATGGATTTAATATTTTGATATGTGCTGTGACGAGGATGATTACTGACAGGATGCGTTGGATATAGCCCTACCCTAAGTCCCGGTTCAACCGTGGTGTTCCCGACCCCAAGATCCGTATCTTCGATCTGGGACGTAAGAAGGCCAACGTCGACGACTTCCCTCTGTGCGTGCACATGGTCTCCAACGAGTACGAGCAGCTGTCCTCCGAGGCCCTCGAAGCCGCCCGTATCTGTGCCAACAAGTACGTTGATCCACCATCCGCCATCCGCAATCCACACCTGCAGCAGCATCGCTCCACACCCAGTCCAGTCCACTAACCATCTCATGAAATAGGTACCTCGTCAAGATCACCGGTAAGGAAGGTTTCCACATGCGTGTGCGTGTGCACCCCTTCCACGTCATCCGTATCAACAAGATGTTGTCCTGCGCCGGAGCCGATCGTCTCCAGACTGGTATGCGTGGTGCCTTCGGTAAGCCCCAGGGTACCGTTGCCCGTGTGAACATCGGCCAGATCATCCTGTCCGTCCGCACCCGTGACTCCAACCGCGCCGCCGCCATCGAGGCTCTGCGCCGTGCCATGTACAAGTTCCCCGGTCGCCAAAAGATCATCGTCTCCAAGAACTGGGGCTTCACCCCCGTCCGCCGCGAGGACTACATCCAGCTCCGCAACGAGGGCAAGCTCAAGCAGGATGGTGCCTACGTCCAGTTCCTGCGTGGCCACGGTCTGATCGAGGAGAACATGAAGCGCTTCCCTAACGCCTACGAGAACCTGTCTCAGGCTTAGATGGTTTTCCAGTAGCGTTAGAGAAAAGATGAAAAAAGACAACCAATTTTCAGTTCCCCGTTTTCATGTTACCCCCCATCCTGGAAAGGATTTGATGTCATTTAGTGGTGCTCTCACGTACGGCGGAGTTGATTAATCATGGAATTTCCTCGGCTTGTTTCATACTCGATCTGCTCGATTCGCCTGTAGCGGTAGCGGTAGCGGAAATGGACCACGAGATTATGATAGCATGCTAAATATTTCATGATATCTGGTTATATTAACTGTATGCAGCGTAGTAGTTATCCTTATGTCAAGCTCCTCAGGATATACCCATCATTGAAGCCCGCTACGATATACAAAATGTACAACAGGTTATGCAAGATGCCATTATTCCAAGTAATATGAACCCGATAAAATCGACATGACAGCATAGTGTCAATGTAAAACAGACGCAACCCAATCGCCGTCGTCTCGCCGCCGCCCCGTTCTACCGTACACCGTCTTATACCCGCAGGACAAGATACACCCTCACCTCTGTCTGCGCCACGGAGCCGAATAAAGATGCGAAAATGACCAAAGACCCGAGCACCATACCCAAGACGCGTTGAATGAGACACCATGATCGAACTATATGAATGGACATGAGTGAGTGGATGTAAATATGTATATACCATTTGTGACAATCACAGCAGCGCTGGGATTAGATCGCCACCTAAATTTGACCAAGATGAGCAATGGGCGTATTCACGTGGGAATGTCGACTGTCTGCAAGCAGATCAGACATCGCCCCAAAGCCCCACGCCGGCCGTAGGGGGTGCGATGGCGCTCGCGCTGTCGATGCTTCCGCCAATGTCCCAGTAATTCCGGCTTGAACCGGTGAGGGTTCGCCGACTGGAGAGAGCAGAGAGTTTTGTCTGGCTTGCGCAGCTCGAGCTGGGTCGGTGGAGGTGTTGACGGAGCAGCGGCGATGTAATGCCCGTGGGCCCAGACTGACGTCGGATCTGGGCTTGAGAGCGGGAATGGGCCCGTGCAACGAGGGGATGGTGCTGGCGGATGATGGCCGCGCGTCGGGACGCATCCTGTGGGTGACGGCGTGACGACGTATGGGTGCTGTCGGTGTTGCTACCTCGTCGGCCGAAGCGGTTGCGAAGGTAGCGGAAAACCATCATCACGTCCAGCTCGCGCTCCCAGTAGTCCTTTTCTTGCTGGAGGCGTGAAGACTCGGGGAGCGGTTCGCGGTTAGCGTCCTCTTCGTCCTCGATGCCCCAGTGCGCGGCATGCTCTCTGCTGGTAGGATCGCGCATCGTAGGCGAAAATTGCGGTGACATTGTCGAATCCTGACTGCTCATCACGGTGTGGGGGGCAGGTTCGACGGATGCACCCTGCGGTGCAGCGTCATTCTCCTCTGCTAGACGGCCAAGTGGTATGCCTGCATACTCGTTTGGTATCTCATTCGTGACGTTGAGATATGTCGTAAAGGCGCCAGGGTGTTCGCAAAGATGGTGGACCAAGGTGCCTAACTCGCGTGCGATCCGCTGAAGTAACTTGCTCTGCCAGAGACCTTGCTCATCCGGCATGGAGTCCAGCTCCCGAATCGTCTCGCTCAGATTGAGAGCGTGGTCTGTTCCTGCAGAACCACTGTACTCCACCCCCATATCTGGCAACGACTCGCCGAAAATGACAGAAAGCAGAGAGTCGTCGATGCCGATCAGGTCCCGGATTACCTTGCGGGTGATACGTCGCCAGAAAGACTCGTCCTGCTCAGACTCCTGTTGCGGCAGCAACGAATCTTCCTTGGGTGTCTCCAGGACACCATCAGGTGTGTGTGAGACCATAGGTTGGGAAGCCACCTGGTCGGTCTGCACACTGACGCGGCTATTGCGTCGGCGCCGTCGTGTTTCCCTTTCAATCTCCTGCAAGAGCACCCGGCTCTGGTCCATTCTCCATTTCTCGATACGTTGCCAGCGATCATGCTCCATATCAACCTGCTCCCGATCTTCTATCGAGTCCAGCTGACGCTGCAAACTCGAACGACGTCGTAGACGCACGTCACTCCGCCGGCGGGGATTGAACTGCTCATGCTGCCACAACTGCTCCTGCACGAGCTGACTGGATGCATGGAAACTCCCCAGCCCATCATGAGCTGGCAGTACTGCTGGAGCGGACTGGTTCACCCGTGATGTAGATTCCTGAGTGACGGACGGGGCACGGAAAGCGTGCAGGCCATCATCTAAGCTGTCTAATTCCGTTCCGTCCTCATCCAGCGGCTCTTCAACATCGCCCTCCGTAACATCGCCCTCAAAACCGAGAATGGAGCGAGTCGCTGTGCCAAAGGAACCGAAATCACTGAGGCGGGATGCTCCAGCTGTTCGGGGGGTGCGTTCAGTGGAGGTCGTGTGAGTGCGGGCGGTGGATGGTTGGGGCGGGGAGAAGAGCACCCATTGCGTGGATTCGTTCTCGAAGACTTGAGAGAGGGGAGAAGGAATATCAAGCTCAGGAACTTGTTGAGTTGAGTAGGAATTGCGACGGCGGGCGACTTGAGGTGGTAGACGAAGAGCCATGAGTGATGAGTCCTAATCCGGATCCGATCTTCACAGTAGATAAGATAGGGTGGATTCTTCCCGCGTAGATAGGCCGTGACCAAATTGCTTGCCAGTACTCAGAAAGTGGGTAATTGTGAGAGAGGGAAAAAGTGGAATAGATGCATGTATGGACAAAGAAATTTAAGAGAGAAAAGGGGGTGAATCAAGAAAAAGAAATCAATAGATAGATAGATAGATAGACAGATAGACAGATAGACAGATAGCCGGATTCGTAGTGATGGTGGAATGATGATGGGTGATGATCGCAGTGGAGTGTAGATCAGCCGTCACTGGTGGGATTCCGATGCCGTGGACCCAAACCTGTTGGGGATGTGGACTTGATCGATTCTAATAGATAACTAGAGGAAAGAAATAATATATTGATACAAAAGAGAAGAGCAGTTTATAATATGATCATGATGGACAAGAGACACCCTAGGGACAACTCGACTGTTGGGGAGAAACGCCGAAATGATGCAAGGATGGGGAGGTCAAACACCACCGTGACAATAACAACAGGGCAATTCGAGTCACCAGACATGTAGATAGCTAAGGGTAGACTAGAGTTTACCTGGTTTTAAGATATACACCATATTTGGACCTATTTGTTTGTTCTATATTGACTACTTGCAGCGAACTATTTTCTTTCAACTTATCACATTTTACCAGCCACAGGGGAATATATATGTACAAGAGTCTCCAGTTCTGAACTCAACCATATCCATCCATATCAGCTCAGCTGACAACATCACTACAGTACTTGCTAGACATTACACTACGAGAGGTAGTTGGTAATAATGTAATCATCCTAGAGATAACGACACCACTACCACCACCAATGAAGTCGCTTTTGGACGGTGTTAGTACGGTCAACTTCCCAAGCCTTACTGCCTGATGGCTGAATCGGACACCATGCCTGAGTACCCATACGGTACAGCTGTCTTCTCGAGCGACCAGCACTGAATACTAAGGTCAACTCCTGACACTGAAACAGGCTAAATGACGATCATCCCATCCGTTGGCCGATCTCACTACATGTCATCTATCCGTCGATAGTTCATCGCCGCAAGTCTGTGACAAGAACTGTATCAAGGGCAATGAGAGGGATAACGATTTTGTTCGTAACTGAGTTTATTACGGAATACGGAGTACAGTGTGTGGTCTGTAATACTGCGGGTGGGTATATTCTATCGTCAGGTCTATACATATCTCAAGGCCAAAACTCATCAGACAACATGATCACAATGCTCCAGTCAACGCGTCCCCAACCCAATCCATCTGCACCGCACTAACTCCCCGTGCATAACTGCGATTCGTAAACACAAACTCATTATACATGATAGCCTCCACTTTCTTGCCGAACAAGACGCTCGACGGGTGGATGGCCACCGTCTGATTCCCGACAACGGTCCGATAGCTGCCATCCGGGACGAGCCGGGCGGTATTGGTGGAAAATCCGCGGAGGAAACTCTGGAGGATAAGGACAGGTGAGGGCTCGCGAGTGGCCGAGTTGTTAGAGGCGTTGCGAGACTCGCCGGCGCTGGGAAGGAGCTTTGCTTGTCGGCATTGCATGGTGAGTTGCTTGCGGACATCCTGCGATAGTCGGAGGCGTTAGTCAAAGAGTGCGTTAGCCGGGAGACGAATAATAACAACATACCATCACTGACTGCATGGCTCGATGAGAGACCATGTGTCGTTCGGCCCAGGCCTTTCGATCCGTATTCTCCGCTGCGTAGGCTTGTACGGTGGCAAGCATGGTGAGGTGATCGCCTTCTCTCCGATACAGGTCTCGGCGCGCTTTCTCTGCCTCTTCCTTCTTTTCTTCGGATGTTGTGTTGAGGAAGATGTTCTCCACACTGAGGCAGGAGATGATGTCAATCACATCCAAAAGACACCCTTCTCCATGTTCTGATGCTGCTAAGAGGACACGCCCAAGGGTCGGCGTAAGAGGCAGCTTAGCGATGTGCAGCCCAATCGAGCTGATTTTCCCGGATTTTTCGAGAGCGTCGATGCTTAGCAGTTGGAGGAGAGCCTTCTCCAACGACTCGCGTGGGGGTCGCGTCAAAAACGGGAAGCCCATGACGTCGTCCACACCGCGGGCTTTCATGTTAAGCAAAGCTTGGCTCAGATCACACCTGAGAATCTCTGGTGTATTGGTCTCATCAAGTGCTAGATAGTCCTTTTCTGTGTAGAGTCTGTAACACTGTCCCGGTGCTTCTCTGCCGGCACGACCTTTTCGCTGAATGGCGGCGGATTTGGAAATGGGCTTGACCAAAAGGGAATCCAGCCCTAAGCGAGTACGGAATTGTTTGATCTTTGCTTTGCCACAGTCCACAACAAATCGGACACCGGAGACAGTCACGGAGGTTTCTGCAATGTTCGTTGCCAATATGATCTTGCGTGTGCGAGGAGGCGCAGGAAGAAACACCCGTTGTTGAGCGACCTGGGGAAGAGCCGCAAATAAAGGAAGAACTTGGACCTTGGGCAACGCAGGGTCCATTCCAGTTGCATACTCGTTGACCAGATGCTCCAAAGCTTCGACGGTTTCCTGGCCTGTGAGGAAAACAAGGATATCTCCAGGCATGGGCTCCTTATAATGAATCTGAAAGATCACCTTTAGAGCTGCATCCACGAAGTCATGCACAGGAGCCGGGGAATAAATCGTTTTGACTGGAAACTGGCGACCTTTGATATGGCAAACAGAAATCTTGTCCTCGCCATTCGCTTGTGGAGAATCCTGTTGGTCATTGGCCCCGTTTGTTGTCTTAGTATCTTCTTGCGCCTGTAGACCCTCCTTGAAAAAGTCCGTTAGACTTTCCATATCAGCCGTGGCACTCATAACCACGACCTTCAGAGGTACACCACCTCGCCCTTCCTTTTGCCCCGAAACCAAGTTTCTCAAGAACCCCAGCACCAGGTCGACGTTGATACCACGTTCGTGCACTTCATCAACCACAATCGCACTGTACTTTGTCAACGAGGGGTCATGCAGCATCTCCTGAAGGAGCATTCCCTCGGTCAAGAACTTGATCCGCGTACTTGGCGACGTAGATGTATCAAACCGCACCGAGTAACCCACTTTACTGGCCGGCGACGAAGACCCCAACGGCGTCCCCATTTCCTCAGCTACACGTCTCGCCAGCGAGATGGCAGCCACTCGTCTCGGCTGTGTAATGGCGATACACCCACCAACCGTCAGTTCCTTTTTGGTCCCATCTTCCTGAGTAACCGTCGCCTTGGTCGGACGGCACCACCGCTCATCGACCAAAAACTGAGGAATCTGTGTACTCTTTCCGCTACCTGTTTCACCGACCAGCAGCATCACGTCGTTCGCCCGCAGTTTCTGCCGGATCTCATCGCCGTGAGGGAAGATGGGGAGGTTCTTGCGGGTTTCGTACAGCGCCTTGGCCTTTTCTCTTAGGGAGGTGAAATTATGCTTTGCTCCTTGGGGCGCTTGGTTCTTCGTCTTGTGCTTTTTGTTCTTGGGGTGGTCGGATGTGCCATTTGCGACGCCGTTGACCGCATGCTTCTCGTTGGTGTCGCGGGAGGCCGGATCGGCCTGCGTTCCGTTTGACGACGAGGATTCTTGCGACCGTGAATCTGTAGACCCCTCAACCTTTCGCTTCTTGCTTTTCTTCTTCTGGTGGTCTGTAGGCTGGTCTTTTCGTTTGACTGGTTCGGAGCCTTGAATTTGTTCGGCCTCAGGGACCTTTTTAGGGACGGGGACGTCGTCCGCGTCGTCAAAAACGATACGTACCCTTTCGGGCATCGCGAAGCCTCGTATGCGACCTCCTTGTCTGGCAAAGCAAAATATTAATGATTAACTGAGTACTCTCTATACAGAACAAGCACAACAATCGCAGTCTAATGATCAAACAAGTCCCGTGCTCGGAGGTGATCGGTGGAGTCCCTGAAATTTTTCTGCGGGCGAGGCTTATCGATAAGCTGCTTGGCGTCTACCCGTTATTCGTTCGTTTGTCAGATCTATATTATTTTGTTAAACATACCTCTCTATCAGAATTGTAAAACCGACTCCTTTCTAAAGATTTGCTCAAGAGACTCTGTCCTATTTACCTATATACTCCGTTTATGGTATCAATCGGATATCGAATAAAGCCCCAAATACTTCTATGCCAAACCGAGACACAAAACCTGTACTATATCTTCATGCAATTATAACGTCGATGAGTATTGTCACATATCCCAACCGCGAACCCTTCGGAAAACGAATGCCCGATCATTGCGGAGTCCAAACTCAGCCCAGTCGTCAGTCAGCTTGTTGTGACTCCAGAATCCCTTCCACACAAGCTTCGTATTTTTCGATGTGCTGGCCGGTGTGGCTGTGGGGTTGGCAGGCTTCGACCCTGCAGCCGACGACCGGAGAGACAGATGCATTGTGTAGGTGTACTTTGAACCGACGCCTTCAGTTTCGATGAAGACATCTCTGGGATCCAGGGCAGGAGTGTCTAATGTCTTGACTGGGAAGGGCGGGCAGTTGGAAATCGACGGTATGCGGTTGTCGTCTTCAGATTCAGAAGCCGAAAGGGGCTTGACCAGATGCCAGCGTCCTCGACGAGCTTCCTTCAAAGCGGACATTGCGACTGGGGGTATCGGTTCTGAGGCTCCAGATAAAGTGATACCTGGCTCAGACGTATTACGTTGATGATGCCGATGTGAGAATGTTGCGCGTGCAGCTTTCACGTTCTCTTTAGTGATGTGAGGAACAACTTCCAACGGCTCCGCCGTCGTCAGTATAGAAATGACTGAACCATCCGGGTAGAACCGTAAGTATCGATAATAGGTGACGATATGTATGGGACTGTCCCACGATATATTGTGGTATGAGGATGCGGCACCCGGGCGAGTATAGTTGACCGTGCTTAGGTATACACCAGTGAAGCGAATTCGAGGGAACATCTGAAAGACCTGACTCCACGAGGATAATGGCTTAGGAATCTGCACGGGTACTGAGAAAGGAAACGGCGTATAGCGTTGCCCCATAGTATACTCAGGATTGCCATGGATGTCACAAGCAAATGAGTAATGCATCGACTTAAAGCCAAATTCGGAACCCTGACAAAGTCGTTTCCAGATGTGTTGTTCGTGGGCGAAATGATATGCCAGGCGCTTGCAGACCAACGCCATCCGACAAAAAGATGCAGGGTCCATCAACGCGACATGCCGAAGGATTACTAGTAGGACCTCGGATGGAATGTTCGCAATAGGGCATGGTGGCGGAGGTGTACCTTCAATTTCAGGCTCAGCTCGAGGAATTGGCAGATGGGCGAAAGAGGCAATAAGCTCAGGAGTAGGCAATACCGCTGGCTCATCTTGGGAATCTTGGCCACTTGTCGGAGCGCCAGTCAATATTGAGGTATTTGGGGCACCATGTGTGGATTTCTTCCAAGCAGCAGCAAAATGCTTGTTTCGGTATGTCCTGTCGACCGCAGAATCTAACTAGAGAACAAATAAAACGAGTTAGTTACCGTCTCTATGCTCCCAAAAAATATCAGAATTCTTACCCGGTACGCCTTGCGATAATGATGCAAGCTGTCCCCCAAATTGCCCTCCGCCTCTTTCTCTACCGCTCGTTCAAAGTGTTCCAAGGCGGATTTAGGTTCTCTTCGCGGTATCTCAGAGAGAAAAGCATCCTCATCTACCCTTCCTAAGCTCAACTGTTCAACACCATGGATGATTTCACCCTGCTTGAACGCCGTTGGCCCTTCTCCGTCGTCTTCCTCCTCTTTACGCTCCGAAGCTGCTTGTCGGGGAAGAGGGAAGTGGCCGGGCCGGCCGGCAGAAGATACAGACGATTTTGGTTGTGTAGTACTAGTACTAGGCCTGTTATGATGTGTCCGGCGTGCAACTTCCTCTCGCCACTGGCGTCGAAACGATTCAAGCTCGGCGTTGTCCTCCATTATTGTCATAGATGTCAGATGCGTGATGAGCACCAACGGCGGAGTCCCTTTGATTGATAAGCGCAGTAGTTCGCCGATAGCTTGAGGCTTGGCTTTGAATCGTAGAATATGGCAGCAGAACGCCGGGAAGAAGTCGTGCAAATGATACGGTGTTGTATAAAAAACAGAAAAATAGAATTTCAAGCCATTCTTCCATGTACAACCCAGGAGTGGTCGATCGATAAGATCAAGAATGTGAGCAGCATAGAGAGAGTAAAGAGAGAAAGATCGCGGGGACCCGAATAATAATGCTTATCTCCGGGCCCAAACTTGATTTGGATGGAGCGCCACCGCCGACAGCCGAGACGGGAACTCTTTTTCTCTCTGAGACTCTGACGCATTGCTGATTTTCCTCCCCGCTACTGCCAGGTTCCCCGACGGCTCAATTTATCATTACTTTGAGGTCTTTGAGAGCTGGACGGGAAAGCTACGTCGATCTTCATCCAGGTCACAATCTCTTCGTCTACTCTTTTTTGAATGAATGTCCGACGTTGCCAACGACGCAGCACCTAGTGGTCGACATCGATTTCAAGAGACAAGTACCGCTGGATCAGGACAGAGCCCGGCAGAGTCATGGCCATGGAGCCCTAAAGATACAACGATGGCGACAACTTCTGGGGCTGTAACGGTCCCTACTCCAGTCACTGAGCGAAAGGATGGTGACATTTCAATCACTCAACGCATGGTATCGGCCACAGGCGGTAGCATCCTCACGGCTTTACTAGGTGAGTTACATTCGCTGCATAAATTTTGAGCAGTTGAGATACTGATTGATTGTGTACAGCAACTCCTCTTGACGTCGTCCGTGTCCGACTTCAATCACAATCTTCCGTTCAAAATGCATCCCCCTACACCTCTCACACAACCCAGACGCTAAAACACTTGCCACCGAATTTGGGAGTAACTGCTTGTTGCCGCGAAGTGTTCTGGTTCGGTCAAGATCCGCAAGTGTGCATGGTGGGTCCAGGCGCCGGGACCATAGGAAGCTCTGCGCCGGCTGTAGCGGACTGTGCAGTCGAAGAAACGCAGCGCAGGACGTTCACTTCCACTTTGGATGGCCTACGCAAGATCGCCCGAAATGAAGGCACTCTGGCACTTTGGCGTGGACTTAGTCCCACACTGATGATGAGCATTCCTGCCAACGTCATCTACTTTGCTGGATACGATTGGCTACGCGCCGATGAAAAAAGTCCCATCAAACGATTCTTTTCCGCCGCCTACGCTCCCTTAGTTGCCGGCTCTGTCGCGAGAATCGCCGCTGCGTCAGCTATCAGCCCGATTGAGATGTTTCGGACGCGTCTGCAGGCCACTCCTGGTACCGGTGCAGGGCATTTCAAGGCGACGTTGGAGGATCTGCATCAAATGACCCAGGTGCATGGCTATAGGGCTCTCTGGCGCGGATTAACACTCACCATGTGGCGTGATGTTCCATTTTCTGGATTATACTGGTGGGGATACGAGGAATGCAAACGCTATCTTCTCAATCTGCGCAGGGAAGCCTACAACCATCATCTCCTGCCTCATGCTTCGTCCTCCTCGACTTCGCATCATGATCTAGATACCCCAACTTTTCTCGAAAGCTTTCTATCTGGCGCATTATCAGGTTCTCTGGCGGCATTCGTTACTACTCCATTTGACGTCGGGAAAACCCGTCAGCAGGTGTTCCGACACCTAGGTGATGGCGGTCCAAGCAGTTTAAGAGGCAGCGTAGCGCCGGAAATACTCCGACCTGAGCAGCTATCTCTGCCCAAGTTTCTCATGCACATCTTCCGCGAAGAAGGCATGGCAGGCCTTTTCCGCGGTTGGGTTGCACGTTGCTTGAAGGTGGCGCCTGCTTGCGCTATCATGATTTCCACGTATGAACTTGGCAAGAAGATGGCACGAGACGTTAACGAGAGACGACAGTTGGCCGATGAAGCCCATTCCGACTCCGTATAATAAAGATATGGCGGAAGTCATATACACGCTCTACCAGCTTCAAGCATTTGGTAGCCACCCTGCGTCGAGAGTAGGCCACTACCCGTGACCATGGACGTTGAAAGGCACTTGGGAATCATCTCCTCTGGCCTTTCGCATTCCCACTCCATATCATTTTGCATCAATCTTTCCTTCCCATGTACCAGCATCATTGTATAACTATTTATTCAGCGAGCAATTGGGTTCGTTGATTGTTCATCTTTTGATTAATGTCTGATGATACCGCACTGCATGTCGCCTTATAGAGCATCTAACGTGTACTTTTGTTTCTAGCGTCTTGGGAAAGTGGTTTATCTAAGGTTCTTGCGAAATCATCGCAGAGTTCGAATTGTGTACATAATCTCTGGGGAAGTTGGGCTGGAGTGGCTTTCTTCTCTGGATAACAATATGGCGAGACAAATCTTTCCTCCTCACTGATCGAATTTGCCACTGCTATCGTGCTTGGTTAGTCCTTTAATAACGTACTTTCAGTATGTCTTGTTCGCTCAATAGCGATCTGCTCGACGCGGAATACTACACTTTGCGAGATCACGAGGCCATGAGTATCTTATTCTTCTCGGTCACTGGGCAGAAGTGTGCTCACCTTTTTTTACATTATCCATTCAAGTCAGTTTCCCTTCACAGCTCTTCATCTTCTATTTTCGAAAACTGTGTTTGTATATCATATATCTCGCTCAACAGATTTTTTAGCCTACACGTTCCGTGTGGGAAAGATCAGGATGTCACCACTGCCTATGCTCACCTTTTCTCACCACAGTATACAAAGAACAAACAGGACTCCAGCAAGTCAAGCCTAGAAGTACAATTTCTGCACGAACATAGAACCTGGCAATCATGGCACGGAGATTGCCGGATAGTCGCAAGGCTCAAACAACCCGTGTCCTCGATGATTTGACATCAGAAGTCTCCAGCGACACTAAAATGCGGGGCGTGGTATTGGTCCAAATCCAGCTCTATGCGTATACTAAGGCCGCGAGGTGATCGCTCATCTTCCGCTAGTGAAGAGCATATGGATTCTGTTGACAAGGCTGGAGAGACAAGGCTGTCAGCAGGCAGGATGTCACCTGCCACGGCCTTCCCCATGAGTCAGATGATGGTCGCTATTTCTGTGTCATTTTAGATGGCAGCCTCGTAGATGGATTTCATCTTGCGTCTGCACTTTCAGATGGATAGCGGTTACAGCACTGCTATTACTCGAGGGGGTTCCGTGCTATGGCGCAGAATATCTCCCAAGGCGACCTGCGCGGTCGATTCACGGTTAGGAATTCTGTTCATTCTTCCGATGTCGAGTAAGTCCAAAATGCCGTTAGACTGACTTTTAGAGCTTCAAGCACTGATATCTTCCAGCATCGTTGCTGTTCCTGCCATAGGATCTGACGCTTGGAATACCTGGTTCGGCGATGACTCTAACGAACCATGGCTTATATCGGACCTTACGAGGGAGATACCAAATGCGCGTGTGTTACTCTATGATCATGGGAAGCCTGGCGCTCGCGATGACTTGAATTCGCTGGCCCATAATCTGCTGAACCGGCTCCACGAGCGGCGACTTAGCGCTGTAGGTCATATTGTGTTTAAAGAGTGAATATGTACTGACTTCTTGCTCAGAAGAGTCGACGGCCCATCCTCTTCATCTGCCATAGCACCGGTGGATTGGTAGCTAAGGCGGCCCTGATTATCGCCAGCCAAGCATCATCGAATATGGAATCTATCCTGTCGAGCTGTCACGGAATAGCTTTCTTCGCGACTCCACATCAGGGATCGACCTACCTATACGCTCCAGAGTACACCCAAAGTATTTGTAGCATAATGAGATTGAAGTATCGCGTCCCGCATCATCTGCGGGAAATTTTAAAGCCTCGACATCAACAACTCATGCATCTTTCCAATCAGTTCAGGGCGATCTCGGCGGATTTGAAAGTCTGGACCTTCCTGGAGACGGTTGATTCCGCCATCAATATCACAGGCTCGGACACGAGCGCCACTGTCGAAGTTCATGTACCAATCACCTCCATTCGATCAGGCCTACTGGGTCTGGAGCATGAGAAGGAGATACCTCTGGCTACTGATCATGTAGGAACAGCATACTTCAAGGGTCAAGAGAAAACTACAAGGACGAGCTTCATAAAGGAGCTTCAGTCATCTGTCTCCATGGCAGTACGACTGTCTGCCCTTGTGGATGCGCCACTCCATGTCAAAAAAGAAGTCATGATTCAGGTCAATGGATTCTTTGAAGATACTGCACTAGGGGTCAGCGAGGAGACTCCTCTGAAGCTTTGGTCCACCAAAGTGACACTCCATGATTATCTGTCAAGAGGCCCATCCGAGTGCCTCAGAGATAGGCTAAGCCAGACCAGCCAGATGCCGCCTGGCTCACTGGATGATTCCTCAATCAGCAGCTTTGACAGCCGACGATCGTCTATTCATTCAGAGTCAGAGCCCGATGAGCCAGTGAATGTCACGAGCGAGGAAACCGAACGAACCCAGTCCAGGCCTTCTATCAAGAAGAGTCGCAGTTTCATGCCCATGGCTTCTCCGAAAATTCATATCAGCGAGCCGAGCACCGAAAGCTACCTTGAGTTACGCGACGAGAACATCAGCTACGACCTAGAGGAGCCGGATGTACAGCATGAAGACACCCCTCAGGAAGAAGGCAATAGCAATGAATCGGGAGAGGCTCCAAATGAGCTCTCCGATGTCGAAGCGTGCCAAACAAAACTATTGTGTGTAAGCGTTCTGCAACATATATACAAACAGCTCAGCTAAGAAAAGGTACAGTAATATAACGTCAAGATATAAAGGGCTCCTTCCTGTGCCGCTCCCGAAACGAGGTCAGCGGAACATGATGGGAGCAGACAAGCCTCGAGCGGCACCTCGATTTGACCGACCAGAACCTGGAAGCGAGAAGCTTCTATGGATACACATTCCTTATACACATACTGGATGGGTACCTTCCATACTTGCTAAAGCCTGTGCGGATCGTGAAATCCCACATTTGTAAGTACTTTTGCGGTTCCAGTTTTTCTATTTATGGCCATGGGCAGGCGCTAAGTATTCCGTCTACATTCAGTCTGAGCAGGTTCATAAATGAGGAAAATTGGTTTTCAAAGCTGATCAGAGCGCGTCACCTTGAACCTCACGCTCGTTATGTACGCCCTTCGTGCATTTATTCCAGGCAGAATGATGCCTCGCCCAACAATCGATCAAGAGGGATGGAGGACCCTCAGCTCGCTCTATATGTGAGTTTAGGCCATAATCAATCAAGATAACCGCTAACCGTCCACCTCTGGCAGATGCCATATGTGAGTCTGTACGCAAGCGCATATTTTGACATACATGCTGAAAAGCAGCCCAGCTTCATTGGGATACATACTGGAATCTAATACAACGCCGGAAAGTTGTCGAAGACCGACTGCGGCAAGGAAGATCCAGACCCGTACCGGACAAAATATCCAAGGCGCACTTGGAATCGAAGTTGATTTGGAAGTTCCTCGGAAGCGAGCCTCCAATTCACCTCAGGAGAACGTTGGACCAGTTCGGATACCCGAACCTGAGATCTACCACTGCCAGAGATGACGATCAAATGCTCTGGAAGAGGACCAGGAAATCAATCAATCTCAAGGATGACATAGGGGATTTAGTGAGGACAGAGAGTGATTCAGGCGTTCCGGACGTTTTCGAGGATGGCAAGGTCCTCATGGTAGACCAGCTATGGCTTTGGATCTTGGACCAGAGAACGGTCGTGACCTTTTTCCCCAACCAAGAGGCTACAACATCCGAGGGCAAGCTCTACGAACAAGCGAACTTACACAACAGTATCTATAATGAGCTCAATGGAGATCTGGCACGGCGTTTCGAGACTGCTGGTGATCTTGCTGCGCTCATAGTACAACATGCTGTCACTGTTTTGCTTGACAGGACCTTGCACCATGACTTACAAGTTCTCCGAATTTTCGAAGAGTCCATCAGCATCTTGGTAGGAGTTATATAGCGCGCACGTCTCGACAGCTGACTGACCAAGAATCAGACAGAATCGGTGACCAAGTCATTTAAGCGGTTCCGAAGTCGCGGGTTTACCATAAATCCTGCTCAACACAACAAAACGGCCGATGGAAGAACAATGACCGAGGCGGAGCGTGATGAAAGAGACATTCATGTAGCAAGACAGAATCGAGAAGACCTTTCTGCGCTATTGGAACTGAGGGATATTATGGATGAACTAGGAACGATCATGAAGCTTCTCGAACAGCAAACCACAACAGTCAAGACCATGGCCAGATACTTCGAAGGCCGGGGATATGGCAACGTCTTTGTCGAAGCCTCGCTGGCCCGGCTCGACGAATACCGCAACCAAGTCCAGGAAATGAGAGAGAACACCATCCTGGCTCAGAAAGCAGTAAGCAACTTCGACGTCCATGACGCCGTCCGCTGACTCTCGTACACAGGTAGAGAATCTTCTTGACTTGAAGCAGAAGCAAGCCAACGTCGATGAATCACGACTGGCTCGGTGGGAGGCAGAAGTCACCCAGACCCAGTCACGGTCCGTGATGGTTTTTACAATCTTCACTGTCATGTAAGCCGTGTCTACTCTACAGGTTAAACCTCATCCAATTGCTCATCCGGCCCAGATTCTTACCTCTCTCCTTTTTCACCTCGTTATTCGGCATCAATGTGCGAGAATGGAGCGGCACAGAGACAAATCCCGATTTCCGTCAAATGTTTCTGATCGCAGGTCAGGACCCTGACTCATCTCTTCAGAATTTTGATTAGACCCCTCTAACGCCATGCTCTAGGCCCATCATCCGTCGCAATCATCCTTATCGCCCTCCTCTTAGCCTTCAACGAAAGACTCCGGGAGACGGCTGCCAAGGCACTTGCAATTCTCTTTGGAATGGCTAGAGACTTTCTCCTAGCTCCCGCTAAGAAGGTTCTTCGTCTGTCCAGATCTTCAGAAGAGCCCTTGGACGTGCATCATGAAGAGAACCGCTTCAATCGCTATCTGTCCTCCCGGCGGTATCGCAGACAATTAGAGGACGATATCTGGAAACAGCATCCAGATCGGGTGATTTCGCCGCTGCCACCTGTGGCAGAGTATGAGATGATGCCGCCGGGATACGATTATTCGATGAAGTTGAGAGAGTCGAGTCGGCAGGGAATCTCGGCTTAGATTGATTGCATGCGACTATGGCTGCGTGGTAGCGTCTTCTTGATCATTACTGTATGAGTAGGCGGTCGAGGACCGAGTAGCAAACCTACGTGAAGATTACAGAAACTGAAGACAGAATACGGTGAGCAATTATTTTAATTGAGGCACGACCACCACAGCTCCAAAGCTGTCGTAGACTACATAAAGTACATATATGATACACAGGACTCCCCAAGACTTTTATGCCCAGTGGGATGGAGTGGAGATGTTGATCGAGTCAATCAAAGAGGAGGCGGATCGAAGAGGTAGATATGAGTATCGAGGTATAGGACGAAGTCGGAGTAGGTGAAGGAGTTGTCAAGGCGTGTAACACATCAGAAACAATAGGAAATATTACAGAAAAATCTCAACACCGATATATCAGAAAATGCTCGTACATGCAAAGACACGCTCGAAGGGAAGAGAAGAAACCTTTGAAATCATGGAAGAGGCTAGGCTAGCAAAGGGGGGCTGGGAGCAGCTTAGAACATGCCGCCACCCATGCCGCCCATGCCGCCCATACCACCCATGCCGCCAGGAGCAGCAGGGCCCTTCTCCTCAGGAGCCTCAACGATAGCAACCTCGGTGGTACCGAGCAGGGAGGCGACACCGCTGGCATCGAGCAGAGCAGTGCGAACGACCTTGAGGGGATCAAGGATACCGCTGGAGATCATATCGACGTACTCACCCTTGGAGCTGTCGAAACCGCGGTTGAAGTCCTTAGCGTACTCGTCGGTTAGCTTGCCGACAATGACGCTGCCCTCGAGGCCGGCGTTTTCAACAATGGTGCGAGCGGGGCGGGTGATGGCGCTCTTGATGATGCTGACACCGAGCTGCTGGTCGAAGTTCTCGGGCTTGACGTTGTCGAGGCCGTTGGCGGCGGCCTTGAGAAGGGCGGTACCACCACCGGGGAGGATACCCTCCTCAACAGCAGCACGGGTAGCGTTGAGAGCGTCGACAACACGGTCCTTCTTCTCACCGACCTCAACCTCGGAGGCACCACCGACCTTGATGACGGCAACACCGCCAGAGAGCTTAGCCAGACGTTCCTGGAGCTTCTCCTTCTCGTACTCAGAGGTGGTGGGGTCCGCCATGACACCACGGATCTGCTCGCAGCGCTGGGCAATGGCGTCCTTGCTGCCCTCACCGTTCAGAATGATGGTATCCTCCTTGGTGATGGTGATGGCGCCGGTGGATCCAAGCATGTCGGGGGTGAGCTTCTCGAGCTTGATGTCGAGCTCATCAGTGAAGACGGTACCGTTGGTAAGGACGGCAAGATCTCCAAGGATGCTCTTGCGGTTGTCACCAAATCCGGGAGCCTTGACAGCAGCGACCTGCAGCTGGCCACGGAGCTTGTTCAGAATGCAGACGGCGAGAGCCTCACCCTCAATGTCCTCGGCGATGATGACCAGGGGGCGGCGGAGGGTGGTGGAGGCCTCAAGGGCAGGGATGATGTCCTGAACGGCGGAGATCTTCTTCTCAGACAGCAGGATCAGAGGCTTCTCGAACTCAACCTTCTGAGACTTGGCATCGGTGATGAAGTAGGGGGAGGTGTATCCACGGTCGAAGCGCATACCCTCGGTGACCTCGAGCTCATCCTCAATGGTCTTGCCCTCCTTGACAGTGATGACGCCCTCCTTGCCGACACGCTCCATGGCGGTGGAGATCAGCTTACCGATGTGGGTGTCACCGTTGGCGGAGATAGTAGCAACCTGAGCGATCTCCTCACCGGTGGTGATGTCACGCTTGTTCTTCTGGAGGTAGTCGACGACAGCATCAACAGCAGCCTGGATACCGCGGCGCAGATCCATGGGGTTGCAGCCAGCAGCAACGTTCTTGACGGTCTCAGAGAAGATGGCATGGGCGAGGACGGTAGCGGTGGTGGTACCGTCACCAGCAATCTCGTTGGTCTTGGAAGCGACATCCTGGAGGAGGCGAGCACCGAGGTTCTCGAACTTGTCTTGGAGAGTGATGGCCTTGGCAACAGAGACACCATCTACTTCAGTCAGTACACAATTCGTTTCAACGACAGGTGAAAACAGCGACCCGGCCTAGCTTGAGTCACACATACCTTTGGTGATCTTAGGGGAGCCATAGGGAGATTCAATCAGGACATTACGACCCTTAGGACCAAGAGTCGATGTCACAGCCTTGGCCAGAGTGTCAACGCCCTTGAGGAGCTGAGCACGGGCTTCGACACCGAACTTGAGCTCCTGAAAGGTTGTTAGCAAGGTAACGGGTGTGAGATCCGGGTGACACGGAAGAGAAATTGGCACCGCTTCAGGAGTTTAGAATTGCGGCATTGCAGATGAGAACATACCTTGTGGGCAAAACGCTGCTGCTGCAGGTTAAGACCAGCGGGCTTGGTAAAAGCAGCCCGCTTGGAGGCAGCGGAAAGGACAGACGTCCTGGAAGAAAGAGCTCTCTGCATTATGGGACGAAGGGTGATACAAAGACGGGATAGAAGAGGAGACAATCACGTTAAGATGGACGACTACTGCCCGATCAAACCTCCCAGAACAAGAACAGGAGCAGAGAAGGAAGAGAAGAGGGAAGAACAGAGGATAAGGTGGATGAAATGGAGATGGAAAGCTGGGGAGATGAAGCCAAAGTCTCGAAATTTTTCCAGGCGATTCTCGATCCCCGGATGTCTTGGCGGCAGAAGCTCCTAGAAGGTCACGTGTGGCCTTCCCGAGGGATGTTCTCGGATCGTCGGAAGGGGAAATTCGTACACAGATCCCACCAGAGTATCTGAGCATTATTCCCATACGTAGAGCTGAATGGGCCTGCACATGTGTTTTTCAAAGCAAAAGATGCAGGGGTGATTAACGACTGTCACTGAACTGTCAGGATCTACTGCTATCCAGTCCGCGATGCGGCCGAAATGTCCACATAAGATGTCATATAAGGTAGTCTTTCTGCTCTGTATCATTACGAATGGGTATACACCTTTTTCTTCCCCTGAAGGTACGGCAAGTATTTATCATATTTGTAGAAATTGAGATGATATGTTAGGTAAGGTTAGAAGATATCCAATCTCACTGTTCCATGCTGTGGTTGAAAATTTGAAAGACCGAGAGCTGATTGATGGAAGCAATTGCAACAAAACGAAAAGCTAAAGCACCGAGAAGCAAGGGAAATACTCAAGAAGAAAGAACAGAATCTATGATGCAGAATAAGCAGATGCTCACAAAGTCATTCCAAGAGCGAGGATCGTGAAAAAGCCAGAGAGATTCAGGAACCAGGATTCTCAGCTTTGCCCAGTTATTATGCATCCTCAATGAGGCTGACGATACAGAAAGCTCAGTTCGCTAAGCGAAAAGCTTCCAAAGAAATGCTGAATCATGGGAATGCCACATAAGTCTTGAGCTTGGGTTATCCAAGGTCTTTGAAAGTTGACACTGAGCCCTATGAGCCTGTCATGAAGAATCAGAAAAAGGGATCCATGTCCCCCGGGCCTGCAAAGGTGGCCCCATTATTGTCTTTATGCGCATCATTGGCATGTATGTACTGAAAAAGGTCGTCAAAATACATACTTTGCTCCCCTGGAACAATGCCCATTTGCTCATTCTGATGGGGATTCAGATGATTCAAGGTGTTCGGAACAAAGCCGAGCTGCTCGTTCTGTGAACTGGGATAAAAGTTCTGATAAGCATTCATATGCTGACCCTGGCTAGACGCAAAATCCAGAAAATTGGAGTTTGAATTTGGGATGGACGATATGCCCATGTTTGAGTGACCTGCAGACAAATAATTCCCACCCATGCTGCGAGTATCTGCTGCACCCATGGCATTTGAATTGTCTGTGCCATGAAGATCCTGATACAATTGCTGGTCAAGTAGACTCTGATTGTGAGGGTCGAAAGCGCTGACCGTAGTGTGTTCTGGACTCTCGACTTTGACAGGCTTTTCGCTTTCAGGCTGCGCTCCACGCCTGTATCTCAGAACAATCACCTTGCTCCGCTTTCGCAGACGAGAGGGGGAACGATTCCGAGACCCCCTGTGATTGGGATACTCAAGAAACTGGGCTCCAGAAACCACTAAGTCTTCAGAGCCAATCGGACTGCCATCAGCGTCCTGGTCACTTGCGGACTGGGGCTGGACTTTGTGGTCTTCCTTGCTTTGGACTCTCGAGCTTTTGCTGTGTGCAGCGTCTCTCTGAGCCTTTGAGTGGCGTTTAACCACGTACTCTTCGTCAGACGAAATATCAGTATCTTGTGCAAGATCACATGGATCTGCTGCGCTGTCTGACTCCCGTGCGTTGCGCATCCTGCGCCGAGCTCCTCCTCTAGAGTATGTTGCGGACGCGTTCAAGGATTTGTTCGGGGCCCCGATGCCACCCCGTCGAAGTGGCGGAGGGACGGGTTTACCAGCATCAACCCGGCGACTGCGCAGTTTAGATAAGTGCTGGACTATTGCTCCTTCTGTGACGTTGTGGCCCATTGTGGATGCAACATCTGCCCAGGGAATCTTCACATTTTTTGCGTTACAGACAGACTGTATTGTCAGGAGGAGTAGTTCATCTAAATCAGCTATCAAACAAGTCAACTCGGTTTCCCGTGATCGAAGATGCCTCCGACAGCAAGGGAATACTTACAGTCCCAACGAACCAGAGTCCGCTTCTTAGGCCTATTCGACCCCTTCTTCAGCGTGCTCATGTTTATATGCGTGCCTGTGCCTTTTAGTAAGCTTTGATATCTGCTGATGTTATATGAATAGTCAAGAGCGCGAGGGACGCTTTGAAACAGTGAGCGCTGTACAGCGGCACTGGCAAGAAAGTGAGAGAAAGATGAGAAGATGTCAAGACCCAGAACATTACCTGGAGGCCGAATGCAGCACAGACTGAAAAAATTTTAAGATGTTGATATACGTACTGTCTGGCTTGCGATCTTTCCTCAAGCTAGCATTTCCTAAGCCTCCTGGAGTTGCAAAGTGGATATCTCCAACGACCTTCCCAAGTCAGAAGAGGAAGATGATTCCGGTAAGCGAAGATGAGAGAGATGAGGGACAGAGGTGAGTGAATAATGAAGGGTGAAGACAAGGGCAGACCATAGCTTGTTGTTCTTGGGTGTATCATGATGCGTACTAGTATGTCTAATACGGTCAACTGCTGCATTTCGTGCAGGGAAGAAGCTTCAATCTCTTGCATCTCGGCGTATCATGCGTAAAGGAAGCTTGTATTCTTTGTTCAGTAAGTGAATATGATATATGAATGCATATGGAAGATCTCTTCTTGGTTAAAGCAGTATGTTAAGAGCAGTTCTATACGGCACATTTCTGGGCGGACCGGCCATGAAATATAGGCCGGGCACGCTTCCTTCGGAGCCTGGATCAAGAATGGAGAAACAGCAGGTCCTCTTAAATATGATTATATTGTAGCAGGACCGAAAAAAACCTTCAGTTCAATGTTAAGGGTCCCCTAGTATTGTAGCTGGCTTGTTGATATAACTTCTCATTGATACTTTGTAGAGTCCAAGAACTAGGTCCTAGGCACAAGCAACGAGAAGCAGCGTGTTATATCGTTCGGTTGTATGCCGAGTAAAAAAAAGCCTCTTCAACGCCCTATTCCCCTCTATTACATGCTTGCAGGTTTGAGGCATCATGAATCTGTCGAGTTCGGGTATCAGCAGTGGCTCAAATCCATATCTGGCCAGCTGATTAATGTCCTGAGTTTTTCGGACTCATGGAACAACAAATAGCAGCAGCAGAATTAGCACTTATTCAAAGCCAGACATTTTGAATTCAATTGTTGTCGGTGTATCAACCTTTTGGTAGTCAAACGGGCGAAAATATGCTTTTCCATCACGTGAATCACATGACCTGAGGTTCCCGATCCTCCGAACTCTACGCTCGTTCAAGCGTTACATACCCGACGACTTCTAATTCTCCATTCGAAACACAATCCCTCCAACATCATCCGTCTTCAAAATGGCAGCTGCGTGGAAAGCCGCTGGTTTGACGTATGTACAACCCATCCTACCGACGATGCCGCTTAACAATGCGCGACCGATCCGGTACTGACTTTTGTAGCTACAACCGCTACCTGGCCGTCGCTGCCCGCGCCGTCCGCAGATCTCTCAAGGACGGCCCTCGTCTCGCTGCTGAGCGCCGTGGACAGTCGGAACTGCGTTTTTCCAAGTGGGAGGTTCGTATACACATCATTGCTGTGCTGGGTTGTGGTGGTGATGGGGTACAATGACTGGTTGGATTTGGCTAACGGATTTCTCGCCTGAATACAGAACGGCAAGCAGGGCGAAGTCAAGAGCATCGCCGAAACCAACCAGCAGGCTGCTCAGGCCGAGTCGAAGTAGACTATTCCTCCGAAGACGATTTTCGATACGATGATATAGGAAGCGAATTGGGCTATCAAAAGCCCAGGGGAAGCTTTACCCGTGGGGAGGAACAATCACTGTAGCAATATTGGCCTGTTTGTTGAAATCAATAGAAGGAATACTTACTTCCTGCCATTTATCGGTGTTGAAATGTAGAGTCTACCTGGGTGTAGTGTAAAGAGTCCTGTAAACAGACGTTCACTCTCCGCCCACATCAAGTCTCTGCGGTCTTCTGCGTCCTTGTGGGTTTCACTTCCGCGAGTCGCATATCGTACTGTCCGCCAACTCCCCGCTCCCTCTTCTCCCGTCTTGTCCCTCATTTGAGCCATCGCCCTCAAAAAAGTCAATTTCTTATAGATGTTCATCCTCGCAGCGGGCTGCAGATGGTCGTGGATGAATATTAATGCTGCCAAGTAACGAAGTCCGCGTCCCGACGATGCGAGTCGTTTCGCAGTCGGTGGTCCCACGCGACATCACAGATGTATTCACACAAGCTGCTTCGAGTAAGAACCCTGTTTTCGTTGACTGTCTTCCTTACATATTTTGGTTTGGCCTGCTGTCTGCTGCATTGCAACGATTTACTGACCGTTCATCTTTTTGCTAGAGCTGCGAACAGGAGAGCTCGTCAAAGATGAGTACTTCACACTGTTCGAGGCAGTCGGCGCCTTGGAGGTGAGTTGCAATTCTTTTAACCCCGCTGATACTCGATCGTGAAACTTTGTCATCGGCTGACCGGTCTTGACTCCTGGCAGATAATGGATTCAAAGATGGACAGTGGTTACCTCGGGCCTGGAGAGAACCACGCGCAAGCCTTGGAGGACGACTACGACATCATGCGGGAGCTGGCTCCGGAAGAAGTAGTGGGAATCATGGACGAGTTACTTTGCCATGAGGTGAGTGGGTTCCTCCGCAAAGCCAGCGGTCATCACTGTTTGACTAAACGGGTTGTACCATGGCAGATGGCGTGGCATATGGGACATCCACTATCTCAGACCCTTTTCACGTCCTTGTACCTTGATAAACTGTTATGGCCGATACCGAAGACCCTCGAAGATGCTCGGTTTGCGCGTGAAAGGTTGGGTAACAGGAAGGAGGACTCCGAACTGTTACACCTTGTACTCCGCGCTTACTGCCTTGCGCTGGTTAAGTGCTGTGATTTTGTCCATTCGCGAGTTTCCGCGGAGTTCTACTACGAAGTTGGTTCTTGAAGTTTATCAGGTGCACCAAACGTTTTCTGATTCTCTGCAGGAAGAAGACTTTGTCACTCAGCTGTACAATCGCAGCTTACTGTCACCGTTTGATGTGAAACACTTCCGAGACCTCCTCGATGAGGCGGTCTCCTGGACTGAAGCAACAGCCGATGCTCTCGATCAAAACTTGCGTGATGCAATCACATCCCGCTTGATCTTTCGACGCGAGTTCCTTCTCGCATTGGGCCATGACATTGACATCTTACAGAACAAATCAACCGGCTACTTTGCGTCTTGCTTATTCCAGTTGTCCTCCCTTACCAAATCTGTCACTCTCGGAAAGCCTGTGCCCGATGCCTTCAGTGTGAAGATTCAGCGGAGACTGGCCAGCACGGTGCCCCCTCGGCCCATGGTGAAGATTAGTTTCGAGGATGCGCTGGCGCATCTACGACGGTTGTGTCGAGATGCCATTGACCTACAGGAACTCGTTGAGTATGGGGGCCCATACAATTTGAAGGTATTCTAAGCCTTTTCCACATGAAGACGAATCTGAATATATCTTTTAACGAATCCAGGTCGCCGTTTGGACATTGCTTTCTCGCAAACCTCAACCATCCGTTTATATCCGTTCACTTACCCAAACTTTCATCCAGAGCAACATGACTGTCCTTGGAAAAGTCTCCCTCAAAGGACTTCTGTACGACGAATTGTCCGAATTTGTCCTCTCTTCGAGCGTGCTTCTTGATGCCAACATTGACGATACTGAGGTGCCCTCGGACCCTCGGTTTCAGATTGCCCAGCGGATGGACGCTTTCGTGAAACGTTTCGCTCAGGTGAGGCTCGTGTCCACCTTTATTTAGGCCCAGCCGCTTCTTTCGAGTAGTCGGCATTTTCTGACCATCATATAGCCCTTCGTAGACACTTTTCGAAGTGCGTGCCTGAACCGATGTCGCATTCGTCGGACACTCTGCCATACAATTATCGATTGGGATAACCTTCAGATGGAGGTATGCAACCCGAGTTGACACAATGAATGATGCTCAGTCCAGACCAATACTGACCTTTGTCCAGGCCGAAGAACTCGACGAGCAACTTCGTACTCTCAGTGAAGAATCTCCGCTTACACTCTCGAACGGCGACGCCACTTACTCTTACCCCCTCAGCAGCTGGGCATACCACCAGAAGCTGAGCCAATTCCGTCTTATCATTCAGCTGGGTTTCGAACTCTCAATTTACGCACCCGAAGAACTTGCTGGGATGTACTGGTATCTTTCTCACATTTGCTCCACGCACCTTGCTCACATCGACCGAATACGCACATTTACGGTCGCGGCCGCCAAACGAAATCTGGCCGCTATGGCTGCAATGAAGTGCAACTCAGCCGAGCGGCAGTCCGCTTTTCACAAGACCCTTCGACTCCTCGAGAGACTCACCACACATATCGTTGCTATAGATGCCTTTGCGATATCCCTGCATGCTCTGTATGTACTCCTCGCTCGGCACAATCTCCTGCCGACAGCCTCTGCTCCGGGAGCGTACTCCAGCGAGCGGCTGCGCTACGAAATTCGAATGAAGCCTTTCATCCCTATCAGCCTGCCGGAACCTGTGCCGTACGAAGAGTATCGCCGGGAAGCGATTCTGGAAGGGGACAGCGATGGAGTTGTCTTAGAACGTGCTTCAAAGGCGATTTCAGAAGCCCGCAAGGCCTGGGAAGCCACACTCGCCAATGGTACTTTCATTAAGAACTCACGGGGCGAAACATACCATGCGCCGGCCATCGAAGAAGACTGGAAGTGCGAGGTTAAGGACACGATGCGGGCCTGCATCGGCGCAAGCATCGCTATCGAAGCGGTGAAGAAGGCACTCGCCGACTCTGGAGGAACCAGCTCGCCAGCCAACCGTCACCGCGTAAGTCTACGAGTAGAGATCCCGGAGGTTGGGTCGCAGGCACGCTGGCATGACTGGTGGGCTGTGCCGCAGGTCACACCGGTCAAACCAGGCAATAAGACATGATATGGGGCAATCCAGACGCAATTCGCTCTTCTTTTCCTTCCGGTGAAGGGTGGATGCCTATTCTATCAATTTAAAAGGAATTTTAGATGAGGAATTGAGGATGTGTTATGATTTAATGTATATAGAACCATATTTGTTATGATGAATGTTAATGTCATAGACAAAAGCCGCATACATTTCAATATGAATCAAAAGTTCAAAAGGAAAATCCTGTGCCCAGTAGATACTTTATGTATTATTGTGCTTTGGAGTTTGGACCGATAAAGAGTGGAAGTGCTGATAGTTGACTAGGGATTGTCTAGGCTAATCCATAACCAGAAATCCCACTTCGTCCTAGCATCGCTCAAGGAAAACAGTTCCATAATGAATGAATAACCTTCCATCTTTGATGACCCCGAATTAGCGATAATTTAAAATAGCCTGAAAGTTCATACCACGCAAGATCGACACTGCGCCATCGCAGGAAGCCTCATCTTCCAGAGTTCCAAGTGTACCTACCTATGGTCACCTACTCATGGCTCCACTGCCCAAAGGACCCAATCTATCCAGACAAGAGCACGATCGCCCGGGCCTCGGAGGAGGCCTGATCGACCTTCTTTCTTCTTCTCCGATCTGGAACTCATTTCATCATCGAGTCTCGACAGGTACTATACTATAATTCTATCTACGTACCTGACCTATGAGAGTCTGCAGAATAGATATAGGTGTTCATCGAGACGAACCTCATCCGCCTTTTCAGCTCAACTCCGTTGCCGCGGTCGCAAAGCTACCTAACCATCTACCCGGACTCTTTGGTGTAGCCAATTGCACGCTTGTGAATCGCTATCAGTTTCGGCTTCCCTGGTTTTATCGCTCTGGTTTCTACTTGTCGCAAAACCAATATCTGATTAATCACGAGGATTCCTAATATTAATTAAAATAGTCCTATGCAAACTCCGCGTGGTCTATCTTGTCGCGCAGACAATCTTCCGCTTCTCCTCTCCTCTTTTCCTCTCTCGCGTCCATCCTTCTCCCATCTCCCCGAGCGGGGGGCGGTAGGGACGAGAGCCTGGACAGACCACACTCCGGAACGCACACGATGCCTACATATCCTATCCGGCGCAGGCCCCGCGAGTGCAAGACCTGCCTACCCTGTCGTGCGAGTAAGGTCCGTTGCGATCGCAATGTACCATGCGGCAATTGCGTCAAGCGCAACTTCAACTGCTCCTACGGCCGCCCGCCTCCCAAGGACCCATATCCGCTATCTACACCGACTACCACGACGACTCTGCCTAAAACCCCATACTCCTCCTCTCTACCGTCGTACACTCCGACTTACCAAAACACAAATACCTCGGGCCGCGATGCTTCATTTGGAACGGGGACAGGTACCGATTCCACTCCCGACCAGGAGCCATTGTCGGATACCGTGATGATCACACAGGGAGAATGGGATGAGATTAACGCCAAGATGCGCGCAATGGAACAGATATTGGGCAGTTTGCACTCATTGTTCGATACGCACGCGCGGAGGAAACCCGGTAACACCGTCACGGACGTCTCCCCTGAAGTAGAAGGCTCCCCGCGGTCCGAAGGCATCTATGAGCCGGACGTGCTGCGAACGGGCTCCGTCCATATAGGGTCGAGGTCGGCACTCGTGGATATTTTGAACAAGTCGAAGGTTTCCGAGGAAACCGCGCAGGCGCTGCCTAAGGATGACCTTCTCGCGGAGCTGGCGATGGGAAACGAGTCGGCCGCGTACCCTTTCGTCGACCTATGGTCGTCGGATCCGTATACATTCAACATCGCCGGCGTTTGTGGAGTATTACCCGATGATGACCAATGTCGACGGTATGGGAATTGGTTTCGATCGTCGGTTGATTCGCCTTGCTAATCGAAGTTTTTCTTTGCAGATTTATGGGCTTTTATAGAGACATCGCAGCTGTACTGTATCCGGTGCTTCCAGACGTCGCCAGATTAGAACAAGATATGAATCGACTTTTGCGAGGCCGTAAGGCAGCCGGAGGGGTCTACCGGCCAGATACCAATGGCTTGGTCAAGCCATTCGGGATGAGCCTGGCGTTCCTGAGTCTGCTCTTCGCCGTGCTAGCGTCCGGATGTCAACTGTCCGATTTGCCAGGTAAAGAGCGGGAGTTGACCTCCTGGGTCTATGGTGCGTATATTTTTCATCATCGAGTGACTGACCTTCCATGGCTGATCGTCTTCCAGTTTCCTGCGCATACCAGTGTTTGCGAATGTTGAACTATGTGTCGCAACCGACGCTTGATGTGATCCAAGTTCTGTTGATCATAAGTCACGTCTTGTCCTATAATATGAACGCGGGCGCGTCATACACGTTGCTAGGTGAGCGATCTTCTTGCTTGGCAGCTTCCATGACTCCAAACTCAACGACATGCTCGCAGGGATGACGGAGCGCATGTGTATGGTCCTTGGTCTTCATGTCGAATCATCGGGCTTTGCGCGAGATGTTCAAGCGGCTCGCAGGAGGGTGTGGTAAGTGCCCAATCCCGGTTGCTCTTTAGCCACGAGTGGCATCATTCTCACGATGCTCAACAGGTGGGCAATGGCTTTTCAGAACAGTCATTTCTCCTTGGCATACGATCGACCGTCAATCACGATGGTTAGTCAGCCGGAAATTCCCTATGATCCCAAATCGATGCCCGGTCATCGATCGTATTTTGAGACACTTTGCCGGCTAGTTTCTGTCATTCTGGAAGTGCTGCGGATGCGAATGTATCCACATCATTCTCAACTGCGATATCACGAGATTAGAGAGTATAAGCAGCGATTCGGACGTATCATCGCCGAAGGTGTCCCGCATTTGCGCTCTCCCGACCATTGCGCCACTTTGGCGGATCATATCGAGCGAGCAGAGTTACGTCTGCACTCGTCGTACTTTCTCTCCGTTCTCTGTCGCGTTTCGTTAGACCCGGATGCGCATCTGGACGATGAGCGGCGGGCGATAATCCGCGAGGATTGCCTGACGAATCTGATGAACACGATCGATGCATTTGTCGAGCTGCATTCGTTCAACCCGCACTGTTCCCGGACTTGGATCAGCCTGCAGCGCACTATCGCATCTGCCTTTCTGCTGGTTGCACATCTCGAGGACCGATATCGTGCTCGAACGTATGACCTCATTCGGAGGCTTGAACTTGTCCTGGCGGATCATGTGTACGCCGGAGGACAGGAAAATCAGAACAGCCAGACGGAGTCTGCGAAACACCTTGCCTCATCGCTCCGTGCCCTCGGGCAAATCAGCGCTGCATTACGTGCTAAGGAACCCGAGGGATGGAGATCGGGCTCCGAGACCACGACCACGATTTCCAGCATCACCACCCCAATGCTGATCCCTGCGTCCTCACCATCGGTCACTCTCGGCACCACAGCAGCTCAGTTCTCCGGATACGTTCCTGCGCCGCAGGGGAAGAACATGCGTACCATCCTCGACAGCGTGTCCGACGTGATGTTATTCCCCAGTATGGGCATGGCAAATTTATGACACGAGATAGAAAGTCCTTTCATACGTTTAGCCCCGCATTTTTTTGACACACATACCAATCTCTTGAGATTATGCGTGGTAGGCGAATCCCATCGATCCCGCATATACCCGTTTAGATGATCGAGAAGCATTTTCAAGGCTGTTTTGAGCGTATGATCTTACCATGCTTCTGGCACTTTTTTAAACAAACGAGCCTGTTGATTGTCAGATACGTTCAGGTAGGTATCCGTACTTGCTCGGTAGTAGGTAAAAGGAGCCCAGCCGAGCCTGTATTCCTGATGGTCCATTCCTTTTCGCTTTGCCCATTCAAGCCGGAGGACCTGTCCTCAGCCCTACCTACATTATCCCTTTCCAGACTAGACACTTCTCCAAATTCGTTGAAACTTGACATAAGGGAGCAACTTGCCAACCTTCATTTCATTCCGAAGCCACTCTGCAGCTATCCAGCAAATCATCAAACAGAACTAACCAACTTGCTTCCTCCGAGCGGAGTTCCCGGTCCACCCGAGAATAGATTACAGGGACTCCCAACTCCAAGCTAGATAGGCTCCCTTGGGTAGACAGCCCAGACCCAAGGAACAGACAACGGAAGGTACTAGGCCAAGACTGGTGGGCCATATATTATTGACTCCGACTGTGGCTTTTGGCCGTTTGACCAACTCTAGTGGGCTGAGACAGGTACTCGCTACTCAACATGCGGAGTTTACCATTATTGTCAACTGTGCAGACGGAGTAGTGACCAGTGGCAACCATTGCTCGATCGGACTTGATCCTTTCTTAGCTGTTATCACGGATACATCCGTGATTTTCGGCTCCGAGGTAGGACGCTGGTGGGACTAGGACTGTCAATCTGACACAAATTGGACATGGATGTTGCATAATATGACTACTGCTCGGGATTTGGCTCACCTTCCAACTCTACATTCTACAGTCCTACGCAGCATAGATCGAATCTGGGATTGAACAGCATGGGGCGAATATGTGATCGAGCTCTCGGATCCGAGATATGAATGTCAAAGCTGGATAACATATCTGACCTCCCCACACACCGCAAGTGGGAGATGGAGTGTGCCTTGGCGGGGATTCCCTGGTCGGGATGACTGATCAGGTCATCTTTGCATTTGGATCAACGCAACCCTCATTCTGAACCATCACAGTGGGTCGCGTCTGCTTCTGATAAGATGGAGGAATCGTGCCATCAAGCGCCGGATCCCGATCCCGAATTCAACCGTACGCAGCAATTATTCGCGGCCATTCACCAAGGTGGGATCAACTGACTCAGCTGGTGAGCGAGATATTGGCTGCAGTCCATGGAGTCAACAGAAGTTTTATGGAGTTTCCGAGTTGTGTTGCGACATGGAGCCGCGAAAGCCCCTATACGCAATGTCAGCGAGGAAAAGCCGCGCACTTCACAGCTACCAACATGTCCTGTCAGATCTCCCCGTTATCCGACAGTGAGGGGTCAAGATGCAGCTCTTCCTTGACTACCGAGTTCATGCGTTCGGCAATAGTCTGACACCTTAGGCTAGTTGCCTTGGTCAAGGTGCTATCTGGGTGGTCCGATGAGTCCAATGCCGTTGGATAAATCGTGCGCTTGCCGGCTGTACTGCCGTTCTTGCGATTCTCTGGTCTCAAATTCCGAATATATATCCATCATCCGATGTTGTACCTTCGGGGCCAGGACTGTGCCAGTTCGGACCCTGGATATCCAGCTTCTCCATCGTGAGAGAGTTGTAGCCCATCGGCTCGTCTCATTGACGCATCCATGGGCTGACCGGACCTGGCCCCATCGTTCTTGGTGGGAGTGTCCCAGGGAATGGACAAGTGAGCAGACATTATGTAATAGGAGATTGGGTCTGGGGCCATACAAAGAAATGGGTTCTAGATACACAACATTCAACCTCGATTGTGGCCACGTTGGTTCGATCAAGTGTCGGATGGTGTTTCCATCTATAGCCGAACTACGAACTTTCCTCAGTCCAGGTTGGATCGCTAGAGGAAGCTGTTCAGTCCATCAACCCTAGGATATGAGAAGGAATCATGAAATGATTGAGAAGCCATTGTTCTATAATCTTTCTCAGAAGCCAACTAAGCAGGAACCTTATGAAACGTTGTTCCGAAATTGAATAAACGTCATCGAAAATTTGCGTGAAGAAGAGCGAAAATTGCGCAGCACAGTGACGAGTCAGTCTGGCTGATATCTTCAATTGAATGCAACCGAAAATCAGATTCACCTTGGCAATTCATTATCACGAATCTTCGGATTCTCATTGGGGTGTCGACTAGAGAGGTGAGCTGGAGGAATACCATTTTCCCAAATAGGAAAGTCCTGGAGTTGACCGTTAGACGACGATCACTTGGGACCTCTAATTACAGAAACTCCTACAGATTAGACTGTTTGAGCTTATAGTGACCGGCTTTCCCTTCCTATTGAATGGTCGGGTCTGTACGGCATTGTTGCATCTCTTTTCTTAGATCCTTTCTTCGATGCTACCTTACCAGCCGGATCACCCCTTAATTCCTCCAACCTGGAGTCTAGATCCGTGTCAACACACCGAGCGTTGAAGATCGCCAGCCAGCAGGTTTCGCAATAGCCATTCACTCTGGTAATTGCCCATTCCCGTTCTACTCCAGCCTATGTCAGCAATTTGATCGCAAGTTCGGCTTCATGGACACAATGCTAGCCTTAAGTCTGGCACGTCAGTCTGCCTGGGAAGGAAGACCCCGCGAGCATAAGCAAATGATCGGCGTCTTCAGGCTCAGGGGCGGCTGATGCCGATGCATCTGAAGCTCTGAGGCGAAGCATTATTTGCCGTGCTGGGGCGCATTGATCCGCGTTTCAGATTTTGGGGCCGGAAATCAAGATAAATAGGGACTGCTTCACTTACCTGTCTCGACAGAGCTGCGGATCACATATCCTTTTACATCGCTCTTGAGGTGAAAGGCAGTTCGTTGCTACAATCAAAATGATTAGAAGGCTCGCAGCTCTCAGTGCTCTATCGGGCCTGGCAACTGCCTGGTTGCCCGAGGTCAACAAGAAGATCACCGCAACAAACGGTACGAACCTCTTCACGAGTTCAAACGGCAAGATCCGAGGTGTGAACCTGGGCTCTCAATTCGTCTTCGAGCCATGGATCGCAGAGAAGGCGTGGTCGGACATGGGCTGCAGCGGACAGAAATCCGAGTTCGACTGCGTCTCTAGCCTGGGTCAGGATAAAGCGAACAGTGCGTTTGCGAGCCACTGGAGCTCCTGGATCACGCAGGATGACATCGCCGAGATGGTGAGCTATGGGCTGAATACCATCCGCGTCCCTGTCGGGTACTGGATGCGCGAGGACCTGGTCTACTCGGATAGTGAGCATTTCCCTCAAGGCGGGTTGCAGTATCTGGAGAATCTGTGTGGGTGGGCTAGTGATGCAGGCTTGTATATTATCATTGATCTGCACGGTGCTCCCGGGGCCCAGACGCCCCAGAATCCGTTTACGGGCCAGTATGCGAGCACCGCTGGATTTTACCAGGATTACCAGTTCGAGAGGGCGCTGAAGTTCCTCGAGTGGATGACCACCAACATCCACCAGAACGACAAGTTCCGCAATGTCGGAATGCTCGAGGTTGTTAATGAGCCTGTTCAAAATGCTGGCCAGGTTGGCTCGATGCGGACCAGCTATTATCCCAATGCTTTCAAGGTGCGTAGCTCTCATACGAGCTCAGAGACAATGCTCACCCTGACGCTTGACTACAGAGAATCCGCGCTGCAGAGCAAAGCCTCAACATCGACAAAAACAACTACCTGCACATCCAGATGATGGACAAACTTTGGGGCTCGGGTGATCCCACCGAGGCTCTGACTGACACCTACTACGCCGCCTACGACGACCACCGCTATCTAAAATGGGCCAGCGTCGCCGTCTCCAAGGACAGCTACATCAGCACATCCTGCAGCGACGAGCTCAACAGCAACACCCCGACCATTGTGGAAGAATGGAGTCTGAGCGTCCCTGATAACGTGCAGTGGAGCTCTGACTGGTCGCCTGACTCTAACAAGGATTTCTACAAGAAGTGGTTTGCCGCCCAGGTCACGGCGTATGAGAAGCAGCAGGGCTGGATTTTCTGGACGTGGAAGGCTCAATTAGGAGATTATCGTTGGTCATACCAAGGTGGGCTGCCCCTTACCGATGATATGTGCTCAACAGGTGCTGACCCTTTAGATGCTGTTGCGGCTGGCGTTATTCCCACTGATCTCAACTCTCTGGCCGGCCTGAAGGTGTGTGGTTGATATGTAAGAGCAGATCGATGAACAGACAGCTTCCCCTACGTATTCCAAAATAGTGTGCCTCTAGTTGGGTAAAGCACAAGGCATCAAAGTGATCTCCGCAGCACCATTCCGATAAGAAATCATTTTGCTATTAGAAAGCCTTTCCTTCTCTTAAAAGTCTTGATAAAGTGCCCATAGAAAGACAACAAATGTACCGGACAACCCGTCACAAGGCTAGGTGCGCAATTGGGTCAACAGCCGGTACCGGCTTGTCTGAAGCGGAACCGGGATGCTTGGATGTAAAAGACGATCTGACAATCACAACCTACATAAGCTCATCTCCTTTTTCACGTTGCACTGCGGCTCATTCAAGTTGCACTGTATTCTCTAAGACTTGACTTTCTGCACAAGCTTTTTCCCCGAGCGCCACCCGGATCGAGTGCAACATGACCAAAACCGCCCTCCTCGTCCTGGACATCCAGAACGGGATCGTCGAGCGCCTAGACGATCCCGATACCTACCTCGCACGCCTCGCTCCCGTCATCAAAGCGGCCCGTGAATCCGACATCAAAGTCATCTACGTCAAGACAGCTTTCCGGGAAGGATACCCCGACACACACCCGCGCAGCGTCATGGGTACTCGAGTCCGAGAATCACAGTCATTCCGCGAAGGTGATATCTCCGTCGAGATCCCTTCCGTCGTGGCGCCGGATGCCAACGAGCCGATCATCACCAAGCGCCGCGTGTCGGCTTTTACCGCGACGGATCTGGACCTTGTGCTTCGCTGTCTGGGAGCGGAGCACTTGGTCGTCGTCGGGCTAATCACCAGCGGTGCGGTGCTGTCAACTGTTCGGCAGGCTGCTGATCTGGACTATCAGCTGACTGTGCTGGAGGATCTGTGCATGGACAGAGACCAGGAGGTTCATGATATTCTGATGAAAAAGGTGCTGTCGAGACAGGCGCGGGTTGTTTCCTCTGCCGAGTGGTTGGCAGAGCTTGATTAATGATGGATCTGGTGATAGGACAGGGCGAAAGAGCGAACAAAACGTCCAATGCCAAGCTAGGGAGTCGAGTCTTGCTCTAGTGAAGGCAAAATAAGATGGCGGGAAAGGGATTCGAGTATCTCGTCGCCGTCTTGCGGTGATCGAGTTGAGGCCGCTACAAATTTGTACACAGATTGATTTTATCACAATCCACACATTCACACTGTCAATGACTAAATCCAGAAGTTTCTGTTGAGCCTTACTGTAAGATCAGCGTGCATACAAAATCCTTCCTGCACACAGACACACATATTTGGCGTCTCCCTATTTTCTGCTTAGTCACCATCCAGCAGCAACAACAACGCGACTTCAAGTCTGAATTTTTTTTTTTTCCCTTTCTTCCTCGCTAATGCGACCATATTATTAGACGACTAGTCCACTCAGTATGGTTTTCCATTGCAATTAATTGCGCATGAGGTTGAGCCAATTGATGAATATCAATAATCATTTCCATCATGGTCGTCGGAGATAAAAGGCCACGGGCCGGGGCGTGCACAACCTGCCGGTAAGATGAACTACACTGAGTACACATCGGCGTAGGAATAAAGCTGACCAACGCAAAACGCGCTGCTTAGCGTTCGCAAGAGACGCTGTGTCCCTGCTGGGGACAAGTACAATAATTGCGAACTCTGTTTGTCCCTGGCGATTCCGTGCAGCCTTAGTACGGAACCCGGGGTGTTTGCTGCTGCGACAAATGGCGCTGCGGCGGCGTCCCATCATCACCCTGTGGCGGAGAAGCTGCCAGCGCCTGAACCTCCGCGGGCTCAGATCAAGCCGGTGAGAAGGATCCAGGAGTTACCGCCTGTGGAACCTCTGCTCGACTTGTATTTGCTGGCCACGCCGGCTCTTTTTCTGGAGCTGGTGTCTTTGTATTTTCGGTCTATCCACAATGTTGCGCATACATTGTTTCACGAGGCCAGTTTCATGCGCCTGTTGAATGAAGGCAGAGCGTTGTTGATGCACGTGCATGCCATGTGCGCGCTCGTTGCGAGGTATGTCAGCTGGGGCTCAAACAGTTGCGGAGACTGATCAATGGCAGATTTTCGAAGAATCCTGTCTTTAATGGCGTTGCTCCAGAGTCACGTGGCAAGCTCTATGCCGGCGAGGCCATTCGCTTATTCCAGGAGAGGGTGAACTATCCCAGCTTGGAAACTGTTCAGGGAGCGGTTCTTTTGGGGCATCTCGTTGGGGGAGAAGGAGATGCGCAGGCGAAGCAGGTCTACATCGGCATGGCCCGCACACACGCCGAAGTACTCTCTCTATGGGCCATGCCACAAAACTCCACCGTTGTGCATCGAGAAGAGCGGCGGCGGACGTGGCTTTCCATCCGGATTGCGGACCCGTGGACTATCATTGACATGTCTGTGAACTCGGGGGCTTCTCTTAACAACCTCAATGTGCTCCCGGAGGTAGACGATGTGGCGTTTCACACGTATGACCCGGAACTCTTGCGAGAGCTGCCGGTTCCGTCCTCGTCGAGATGTGGCATGTGGGCGCAGATGGCGGGGACGTTGGACATTTACACCCGAATCAGCGTCCTTCTAACGCGACTCAGCCGCGGGGTCATCACCTTTGACGCCTATCTCAGCGAGGTCCCCTTGCTGAAAGAGTGTCTGGACGGGTGGGTTCGGGGTTTGCCTCCCACATTGGCCTATAGCTCTAAGAATCTCGCATTCTTTGCTAAACAGGGCCTGGGTCGGAATTTTCTCGCCATGCATATTGTCTACCATCATTTCTGGCAAATGCTTTTCTTCCCCTCCCTGGATGCACGAGCAGGGCGAAACGCAGCACCTACCGCAGATGGCATTGCTCAATGCAGAAAAAGCGCCAACGCGATCTCTGAAATTATTGATTGCTTCACAAAGGTGGACGACTGCCAGCTCGACTACTTCCTTTACGGGCACGTGGCCATCGTCAGCTCTTGTGTCTACATGCAGGCTCTGATGCTTAGCGAGGAGTTGTCGGAGCTGAGTACCGCACGACAACACCTAGTCACGAATTTTGAATACCTGATGGGATTGAAAACACATTGGCCCGCGGTTCGGCAATCGGTGAGCTTAGCATCCCCCAATCAGTTATGCTCCTGATGGCTAACAAGTCTAGATTGCCCGCCTCCGCGACTTTCAAACCACTTACCAAGATACCATGACCAATCCGTTCAATTTGGACCACTGGCTGGCCCGCTTTGTCATCGAGCACACTGCCATCCTGGCGGAGCGGCAGACGCCCGGACCGCAACCCTCGAGCATCCCGCGACCATCACAATACAACACCAGCGATGAGTCCGGGATCCTAGGGCTGACGGGCAGGCTCAAAACGGAGTCCTCGCTTCTGATTCCGCCATCGCACACTAGAGTGTCGGACCGAGAGAGCGGCAAGCTGTCTGCTCTTCTCAATGACCACAGCCTGACCAGCGAGGCGCTCGTGAACAACGCTCTGAATTGGTTGTTGGAGTAGTTGCCAGTCGGCGCGCGCAGCTGAGCGCGACTCGAGCTGCACCTGCACCATCCACAACCGTCCATAACCAGAAGGGAGGGTACCTGGTATTGCATCGCTTCCGGGAATAGACTCTGAGGTCCTTCTGGCACTGATCATTATCGAGCCGATCCGATCCTAATGGGCTAAGTGATATCGGATACGAACATACTGGTGGACGCGTCGCGTCCATTCTGTACAGCACAAGCAGATCCGCCATTGCGAGAGACTGAACCGGATCGGCATATAAGTGTAGTTTATTCGTCTACACTCGAGTCACAGAAACGGAGACGCGGACACTCATTTCTCCGTCGTGACCAACTGCAGCATGACACGATGTCCCGGGCATTTTGGCAGATTACGCAGAAAATCTGTGCCCTCTTAATAAACCAGGTTTTGGTCTCAGTCGAGATCCATTGATCAGTGACACTCTGGTGGGAGTTGGGAAATGTGTTGAGGAGGAAGTATACGATATATAAAATATCATTGTGAGTGAGGGTTGCCCAACAGTGCACTATTGTACATGTACATAGAATTTTTGACAGATTATAACACGAAATGATGCTCAGCCGTGATGGCAATCATCCACATATGGTACCATCCCACTATAACGAGGATCAATCCACCAACTCACTCAAGATATCATCCGCCGCCTTCTCCGCAACCAAATAAGTCGAGACAGCCGTAAACGTCCCCGGAATACGCGGATACACACTCGCATCCACAACCCGCAGCCCCTGCACCTTGCGCACCCGGAACTTGCTATCCAGCACCGCCATCGGGTCGCCATCCGCGCCAATCGGACACGTCGAAGACGCATGGTGTCCCCACGCCGTGTCCCTCACATACGTCTCGATATCCTCCTGGCTGACAACCTCCACACCAGGCAGGACTTCCGTGGTGGGGACGGGCTGGCGGCGCAGCGCATCGCGCGCAAGCCCGATCCCCTCATAGATCGCCTGCAGGTCTGCGTCCGCGCCCGTGTCGAAGTAATTGAACACGATGGTCGGCGTGTCCAGCGGGTCCGCCGAGCGCAGGCCGACCGCCCCCGCGGTGTTGCGCGGGTGCGCCTTGAGAATCGCCCAGGTGAACCAGTCGTGGCGCGCGGTGATGTTCACGCTGTAGCCTGGGAAGTAGCCGCGGAAATTGACCGGGCCGCCGAAGACGAAGGCGTCGTAGGCGTTGTCGGCTGAGACGGTCGACTTGTAGTACATTGCGGCGGCGAAGCCGGCGGATGAGTAGATGCCCCTGTTCCCCAGGAGGGGCTTGGATTCCCAGCGTTCCAGGCAGGGGTCTCCCTGTCTGAAGGTGCAGCCGTGCAGACTGGTCCAGTTGGAGGGGACGTGGGCCTGGACGCCGACCTCGTAGTGGTCTTGGAGGTTTGTGCCGACGCCGGGGAGGTCGGCGACGAGGGAGATGTTGAAGTGGGCGAGTTCGTCGGCGGGGCCGACGCCGCTGAGTTTGAGGATCTGCGGGGAGTTGTAGGTGCCGCCGGCGATGATGACTTCGCGGGAGGCGGTGGCAGAGCCGGGGGTGCCGGGTTGGGAGAGGTGGGCGAGCGGGCTGGCGCGGTAGAGGTGCTTGCCGTCGAGGAACTCGACGCCTGTGGCGCGGGGCGGGGAGACGGTGGTGTCGAAGACGACGCGGGTGACGTGGCAGTTCATCCGCACGTCCAGCGGGTACTTCTTACTGCCGTCTGGGTTCGTGGCGTCGCGCACGGCGGTGATGAACTCGCGGGGCCCGTTGCGGCGGCCGTCGGTGCTGGACAGTGGGATCTGGTAGTATCCCGGCTGGGTGTCGCGGGCGAGCGAGTCGGCGTTGGCGTCGCCCAGAAGCAGTGTCCCGAAGTTCATGAGCGTGTGGGTGATGTTACCCAGGGCAAAGGCGCCGCCTGTCAGCAGGCTGAGCAGTTGCGGGTCCTTGAGAACGATGTCCAAGGGCGCTGTGTCGGTGTGCAGCCAACCGTCGTAGCCGTGCCCCTTTTGGCCGGGCAGGAGGTACTCGTTGTGCTCCATGCGAACAAAGTACTGCCGCATGTTGTCCGGGGACCATGAGCTGTCGCCCGTCAGCGTGGCAATGTACTCAAAGTCGGAGCGGTCTGGATAGACAGCAACCATGGCGTTGTGTGCGGTGCAGCCCCCCAGCGTGCCTGTACGGGGATACAAGGTGCCCATCATGGTGGAATTGGCCGGCGGGTTGAGACCGGTATAGATCTCACCGTCGGGGGTCTTATAGCTGGTCTTGAAGTCGCGTGCCTGGCGCTCCTCGTCGGCATAGTGGCGCACGAAGAAGTTCCAGGCCATCTCCTCGTCCTCAGAGGCGAGGGCCGAGTACGCCGGCACGGTGTAGTTGACATTGAGCCCTTGGTCATCTCCTGCTTCGATCAGCAGCGTCTTGTGTCCGGCGAGAGCGAGACGAGCGGCCAACGGACCGCCTCCAGCGCCGGATCCCACGACGATGTATTCATACCCGGTCAGATGGACAGC